GATGCCACCGTTTCACATATTTACACAAATCATGCATAAGACTAAATCTTTATACATAACCATATAAACTTCGTTCAATACTTCAAGTTCAAGAAACGACGGAAAAATTTTTCCTGGGGAAACTAAAAATAATACATGGAATTCTGTATGTAAACGTTTAAAATATTAACCTTCGTAAAAATGGCACAATAGATCACTGTGGTCGCGGTGCAAAGGCCAAGAAGGCCCACCCCTTATACATTCAACCTTCATAAACGTATTGTTTAGGTTACAAATAAGTTGAGAGTAACAATGATATATATTGCACTAAGAAAATTGTTTGTTAACCATTCAAAATCTGAAACGCTGCTGCCGAATCTAAGGTCCTCACAGTGGTGACTATTAGTTGTATCTCCTGGGATATACGCCGTGTAATCTGGTAAAGTCAACAGGCTTTTCGCAGAACATACTGCCTCAATCTGCAGGGTCGATGAGTACGCCAAGAAACCAGAATGCAATACGCATCGAGCCTGAAGATGGAGGCATATGTTACTCTAATACGTCAGTTGACTTTCACACGACTACCCGGCATTATATCCCGGAGAACTGAAACAAGAAATGCTGCTATGCGACATAATCTGGGTACATTTGTACATATGCTTCAGTCATTCCAGTTCAAACACTCACATACTACGTTAACTCGTATAGAACTAAAACTACTACTACTACTACCATCCAAGCTTAACTTCAAAAGAATATATAACTCTCAAAATGAAAATAGGCTTGTATATACCGAATATAACGATTTACACCAGACTTTCAAATGTTCCTCCATAAAAATGTAACTGCAATTATGCATTTTCTGAAGCATACTCGCAATAACATTAAATGCATAAGAAGCTCCTGAGATGACGCAATAAGTCATTGGGCACTTACAACTACCGTGCTTACCTCTGTATTCACAGACGTATTACTTGACGAAGCTTCTAGAATTGGCTGCTCGCATTCCATTCGATGTTCCATGGAACTTCCGATGTTCAGAGCTTTTAATGAGCCTTTGACAAAATCTTTGGCTCGATCCAAACTTGCCAGCGACATGTTGCTGGTGTAAAAACTAGTGGAACTCTTCGGCATTTTGATGGGGTTTTCTTTCAACTTCTGTTCCAAAAGTTCTTGACACTCAGATTCCCTTGATGAAGAGGCTTCTTCTCAAGATCTTAGACGCTCTCTTCGTGTCAGTAACTCCCCAAGTCCTTCACCTTAGATCAAGATGGTGTTTCCTTCCCTTTGTCTTCACTAGGCGCCAAAGCACCGTGAGACACCTCTCTTTAATTTTAAACACCAACCATGATTACTCTGTAGAATTAGGCTGCAAAAATACCAGCAGTCAGCCACTCCTGACACTGGTTAATATCGCGTTCCGACAGCTACGACGCCGATGTGCAGAATGAGAACCCGCTCTCTGCGCAACGCTAGTTAATCGAACCAGAACTTTCCGCCGTGCTGCCACCGCCGCCGCCGCCATCACTAGCTACTATGGAGAGAGGGGGGGGGGGGGGGNGTTTGAACTCTCTTACGCATGCGCAACACTGGACTACGAGGTCTGTTATTGGTTCGTTGTATTGACTCGCCAATCAAATTTACTTTGAATAGACCATTCAAAATATACAGCAACATACCAGACAAAGTCCCCTTAAAAATCAAAATTTAAATTTTAAATTTTAAGTTTTAAATTTATGTTTTGAAAATAATGTTCATTTTCAATGGATTATTGAACAACATGAGGTTTTCAATCTAAAACAAATAAACTGAATCAAGACTATATGTAGCGTAGTTGGTTGAGGTACTATGCTAAAAGCCGGAAGGTAGTGGGTTCGATTCCCGATGAGGTCATTGGATTTTCAATTGACCTAATCCTTTCCTGCCGCACTAAGGACTTAGTGTCGACTCAGCCTCTAAAAGAAATGAACACCACGAATCTTCCTGGGGGTGAAGGGCGGCCGGCGCGTAAGGTTGACAACCTCATCGCCATATATGGGCCAATTATCTATAAAATGTGAAAGCCTCAACGTCTCACAACCTTATGGACCTCCACGCCCTGTAGGAGGGTTAGTTTTACCTTTTCTATTTGTTCTCCCTTTTTTACCTTTACAATGTCAGATATCGATGGTATATTTAATTGACTGTACCCTCCCGTTCTATTCTCTTTCTTTTTCCTTGGCACTACAGCCCCAGTGAGCCTAGGCCTACCTCCATGAACTTCTCCGTTCACTTCGGTTTTTCTAGAGCTTACACATTCGGTAGGACTCCTTGGGCGGGTGATCAGCTCGTCGCAAGGCCACTCCTGTACACAAACACAGAAAAACGCACACACACAAACTAAACATCCATGCCCTGAGTGGGATTCGAACCCACGATCCCGGTTTCCAAGCGAGCGAAGACAGTACATGCCTTAGACCGCACGGCTACCGTGACCGGCCCCGTTCTATTTTACGTACTATTTATTCCTGGCTTATTTCACGACGATTTCAACTGCTCAGACTATATAGCGTCCAACTGCATATAGGAAGAGTATTGAATAATTCTGTTGACGGAAGCAGTATCCACATATCTGCCTCGAGGAACGTAGGAAAATTTGACAAGGCTCGGTCAGCCTGTCTCTGGGCCAATAATTTGGACTCGGAACCTGCGGACTACGGAGCATGCGCGTTATGCAGTCCTTCCCGATATTCTGCATCCTTCCGTTGTGACATGATTTGGGTCTTTCTTTCACAAATATCCTTCCTTTTTACCCGAAGCATGGAAAACGTTTAAATAAGTAAACATTTCTGTTTAGTTTTATCAGCAAACCAGCTACATCGAACAACGGCGATATAGGCGTTAACGAAAAAGTGACCTATAAACCGAAGGTCATAGAAAGGAAACAATACAAGTTTTGGGAACCCAGAGCCAAAGATATTTGAGAAAGAAGAAAGCAACATTCCATATAGCCAGTACTCGTGAGCGTTGCCAGGATCTTTTCGGAGGCAGAGGAGCCCGAAATATTGCTTCCAAACGTATATTTTTATAAAACATTTAATCTTTATTATTACTATATGTCATATCTCGTTCTTTTCTTCAACTGTGATAAAAATCCTGAGAGGGTGGTAAATGCCTAATCCACACCCACACCCTCCCGACATGGAGCTGATCCCTTCTTGAGAAACCGCCAATTGTGCAGCTACTCAAGAATTTCCCAGCATTTTATGGAACCCAAAGGTTCATTACCGTGTTCACAAAAGCCCTCCACCCGTCCCTATCCTGAGCCAGATCAATTCAATCCATACCATCCCATCATATCTCTCTGAGATCCATTTTAATATTGTCCACCCACCTATGTCTTGGTCTTCCCAATGGTCTCCGGTGTTCCCACTAATACCCTATATGCATTTCTCCTCTCCCCAATTCGTGCTACATACCCTGCCCATGTAGCCCAGGTTGCGGATGGAGGAGACGCCCTCCAGGTATGGAAGGAAGCAGAGAATATATTGAATAGGCAGGGGCGGACAGCCGAGAATGGGTGGTACTCAAGCTTGGGGTTTGGGTGTGGGGCTATCTACTCCTCACCGTAAAAAAAAAAAAAAGCTCGTTACGAAAATGTTCGAAAAGTGTCGGACCTTCCTGTAGATTCCTGTTCTCATGTATTAGACTACGCCTTTTTATGAAATACATAGGACATCATGTAATATTTCTTATTCAGAAATGTGCTGGGCTTATTTTTATTAAAGGGAAGCCTGTCTGACATTACATATGTCATGAATTTGTTACAAGCTGGGTTTAACGTATCGCATGGGGTACTAGGCTCTGTTCTTACCCGATGGCATCGCGCTATTCATATCTTACGTTTGTTCTCCTGTTTTCCGTCCCTTTTCTTGATATCGTGTCTACGAGTACATTCGCGTTACTATGGAGATAACAGATAGCTGCTCTTAACGATCGAGGGTAAAGGGAGAGGGGTTTCAAGGTAATGTTCTGCGAATTCGTAAAGAAGCTGTCCACTTAACCTCATTCTTCTTTTGTGTGAAAAGGAGGAGTTTTACATTCTCATGGCGGTGATTATGAAGAGTTTTATCTTCTGAGATGTAACGCCGTGTAGTTTGCTGTCAACTGACGTCCCGGACGAACATGTCGAATGCATCTTTACGGTCGAAGAAAAAGCCAAATATTAAACCAACATGAAACAGGTAGCAACGGAGTGCATGTCGAAATATAACGCATAAGATTAAACTGTTCAGACCTCAGTTCGTTATAAGAGTAGAATAAACTGTGGTATTTCGTTACCAGTGAATTTATAATCATTTATATGCTGATAGTCCTTATAGTTTATATAAAACTGATATGTTATATTCCTCGCTTTGTATCAATGTCAGACTTAATACCACTCGAAGGGTAAAGCAGATAAGTAAAGTAAAAGTAAAGCTATCCCTGTAACAGGCCGTGGAGGCCCACTGGGTTGTGAGATGTTGAGGTTCCCACATTATGTAGACAGTCGGCTAATAGATGGCCGCGAGGTTGTCAGCCTTACGCGCCGGCCGCCCTTTACCCCCAAGAATATTCCTGCTACTCATTTCTGTTAGAGGCTGAGTCGACCCCACGGCCATAGTGCGGCCGGAAGGATTAGGTAAATTGAAAAATCTAATGACCTCATCGGGACTTGAACCCGCGATCTTCCGTCTTGTAGCATAGCGTCTCAACCAACTACGCTACCGCGTGCCCACGGTTAAAGTAGACACTGCAGTTATTTGAGGAACGCGGCACAAATAAAGGACAGAATATTTCTAGCGTATTTTTCTTTCATACAAGGAAAAATGTACGTCTATTTGATCACCATGCTGCTTGCATATGTGTGTGTGTGTGTGTCTGTATCCTCCCATGCTAACTCCTGAACCAGCTAACTGAGTTTCCCAAACTTGTTATCAACGCTAAGTCATTGCAGGCCGCCTGAACTCTTTTTTTTTTTTTTTTGTAATCTCCTACAGTCAGCAGTAACAACGTAACGGATGCATGAACTTCGTGGCGTGAGCGACACTACGTCACTTCCTGAAGGGTCCCAAGATGATGTACAAGCTTAAAGATGAGGAAGAATGGAAAATTATATAGCTTTCGGTTTGACGGTAACAATTAATTAACCACTGGACCTTGGCATGGGAAATTTGACATGGACATAGATAATAAGCATATACAGAGCGATGTATCTTAGCGTCCTGTTGCACTGATGCTCGTCCATGATATGTATGTATTGACCGTCTTCTAATGCACACAATCTCACTTGTCACTTCACTACATGTTTCGGCATCACTGTGCTATCCTCAGGTGTGCTATTTACGTTAAACTATTGCACTGCTCGCCATCATGTGTCGTTTATAAAATGATTTAAAATGTATATTCGTCATGTACTATAATAAAATTTATATATTAAAACTTGTTAAGATTTATCATCTTATACGTACGTCGTATTTCAAACTCGCGTATTATATCAATCTTCCGCTATGGGAGTCGTTCTTCCTATATTCTGTGTATACTGTCTTGTGATGTGTCCTGCTTTTGTGGCTGCGTGAGTTGATTACAACATGTAGTGAAGTGACAAGTGATATTGTGTGCACTAGAAGACGGTCAATACATACACATCATATGGAGAGTGTCCCAAGAGGAAAAGTCAGTATTCTTGGAGGTCACGGTAATGAATCTTCGGGTTCCACAAAATGCTGGGAAGCTCTTGAGTAGCTGCACAATTGGCGGCTTCTCAAGAAGGGCTCAGCTCCATGAGTGAGTGAGGAAATGCTGTATGCAAGTAACAACATAAATGATACGAAACGCTGCTGTTATATCCCACAGATTTAACCTACACACAGAATCTGCACTTGAGTAACATGTTCTTCAGAAGAGAGAAATAAAATAACAGCAACAGTAGGCTTATAAAACTGTTAAGACTGTGCATCTAGGCAAAAGGAACATTCCTGCATTGCAACCTTGTTATTTTATATTATATAAAACATTACTTTAACAATAGCTGCATATTTTTTGAACAGTCATTGTCATACATCATTTCCTGGTCCTAAATGAACGGTACGAGAGTGTTTCTCCAACCTCACAAGTTTTTGCTTCCTCCATATTGCTATTAAGAGTTGTGGGAAATTAAAAGCTACGACGTTAGAATGCCCTCCAATGGAGTATCATCGATCAATCGATCAACCGGTTTAAATATTTGAAAGAGGAGACATGGATACACGCACACAGACAGCATGGCCTACTTTTTTTTTGTTTAAGAAGGGAAGGAATCGTAAAAAGGCACGAATGTATGAACTTATTTTACCACTTTTACCACTGATCACCATGAAATCGGGACTAGCAAATAAAATTTCCAGCAGTAGGGTTTCAAAAGACGAAATCTCTTATACCCTTTTCGCCCTCAAAAAGCACTTAACGCAA